TTCCGGACCACTGCAGGTCTTTCCGGACCACAATGGCTACAATTAGAGTACGTTTTGGGTGCTTGCTTTTCCGGACCGCTGCATGTCTTTCCGGGCCGCAATGTCTACATTAGAGTACGTTTTGAGTGCTTGCTTTTCCGGACCGCAATGTCTACAATTATAGTGCGTTTTGGGTGCTCGCTTTTCCGGACCGCTGCATGCCTTTCCGGACCGCAATCGCTACGATTAGAGTACGTTTTGGGTGCTTGCTTTTCCGGACCGTTGCACGTCTTTCTGGACCGCATGTGTTTCAAGTACAATCTGTTTTGAGTCCCTTCTTTTGGATGTCTTAAGAACTAGGTAGCCCATAACCGGCCCCAAAAGAGGTCTGAAACCAGTTCGACACATCTTCCTGCTCACCGTCTCAAGACTTCTTCTTTCTCTCTGTCTCTTTCTCCCTTCTCTTCTTTCTTTTCCCGTTTTTTCCTGTTTTTTCTCCAAAGCTGAGGTAGCCTACGGACAAAAAGGGTCTGAAACCACTCTGAAACACCCCGCTGCTCACCATTTACAACGCTCTCTCTCTCTCCTCTCCCTCTTCCTCTCTCTGTCTCTCTCTCTCTCTCTCTCGCCTTCTGTTTGTCTCCATCTTCCATCTTCCTCTCTCTCTCTCTCTTTCCCTCTTCCTCTCTCTGTCTCTCTTTCTCTCTCTTTCTCTTTCTCTACCTTTTCTCTTTCTTTTTTCATCTCCCAAAGCTGGGGGTACCCAAAAAACAAGCCCAAAAGAGGTCTGAAACCACTCTGAAACACCTTCCTGCTCACCATCTCCGGACTGCTGCTGCATGTCTTCCGGACCGCGTTGGCTGCTTTATCTCTATCTATCTATCTATCTATCTGTTTATCTATCTATCTATCTGCTCCTTTTTCTTTGGATGGCCTATTTACCACCCTGGTTATCTATGTTTATCAACTCGAGATATGAATATTTAAGATCTAAATCAGATACGGTAGTAGTAGTAGTAGTAGTAGTAGTGGTAGTAGTAGTAGTGGTAGTGGTAGTAGTGGTAGTAGTGGTAGTAGTGGTAGTAGTGGTAGTGGTGGTAGTAGTAGTAGTAGAGTAATAGTAGTAGTAATAGTAGGAGTAGTAGTAGTAGTAGTAAAAGTAGTAGTAAAAGTAGTAGTAGTAGTTGTAGTAGTAGTAGTAGTAGTAGTTGTAGTAGTAGTAGTAGTAATAGTAGTGGTAATGTAGTAGTAGTAGTGGTAGTAGTAGTAGTAGTAGTGGTAGTGGTAGTAGTAGTAGTAGTCGTCGTCGTCGTAGTAGTAGTAGTAATCAAAATGATAATTAAAATAGTACTTGTAATAATGATAACAATAGTACTTGCGCGTACCTTGGGCCGCCCTTGCGCGAAACTTGCGCGATGCAGGTTTTAGACCATGGGAAAAATGCGAGAATAGGTCCTTTACTAAAAACCTTTCTGGGGTTTTTGGACGGCTCCCATATATACACACAATTAAAATTACATATTAGGACATATGTATGTGTATAGATATATACATATATACATATATTCTATGTGTACATATTATATATGTACAGTACATATTATATATGTTTATATTACATATGTACATATTATATCATATTATATTATATGTCAATGTATATACTTGGTGCACCCTTAAATAACTTGTGTGTGTGTGCGCACTTGTTTGATTTCCGGAAAGCATGCAAACCAAATTTGCGCATGCAGCTAATGAGGCAGTTTTTGTTGCTGATCAAAAGAGTCATCGATAGGCTACGGAGCCCTTCAGAACAACTTTTTGAAGCCACACAGATAGTTCGTGAACCTGATGATTGAAGACAGCATGTTGGCGACCCTTCCTCAAACTACCAGCCATGCAGGTATGAGTTACATCATTTTAAGGACAGCCATGTGGCTACTAACCCAAAGGGTTTATGTCACTGGCCCAGCCTGCAGGAAGCTCAAAATGAGATTCCAAGAAAGTGTCCAAGAAGAAAGCTCAATTGTGACTTTGTCTTTCACTTCATGCAGAGGTGTTGGCACACTGACTGCGGCTGGTAGAAACTGAAGGTTGAAGACACGTGTATGGACTGTCATTAAGAAGTTCTTTGTCAACCAAAAACCCTTGAAAACTACGGTCTGCTTGGCTGCTTGCTGACCACTGCTTCCACTTTTTCAGGCACTTAGGGCAGAGATGAGAGATGTTTCATTCACACTGCCTGCCAGTTCATTTTGCTGCGACGGATTTGAGCCAGGATTTCACCATCGAGTGAAGAAATGACCCTGGATCGCTGTGACCTATCCATCTTCAAAACACTGTTGAATCATCAGCCCAGTGGACCCTTGAGCTCTGATGGCCTGTCTCTCGATCTTTTTTGGTCGACTGAAGCTACTCAGAATCTCAGATATTCTTCCGGTGCGCGTCTTGCACCTGGATGCTGCTCGATATCCGGCCAACTTTAGTTGCGCATTGGGTGAAGACATCAGCACATGGTTGCTGACACTCATGGTTCAGCAGTGGAGTAGACCCAAGTAAACCCTCCTATCATTGGATTCAAAAAACCTCCAGAGTTCCCTAGTGTGGAATGCTGCGAAACATTGTGCTTCCCTACTTTGGGTGACATTGATAGTTTTCTGAAACTATTGCAGAGATGCTACAACGATTCTACAACAAATAGGTTGCCCTCAACAGGATCGTGGTAGCCATTGGTGCGACTTTTGACGGGATCGTCATGGGTAAAAATGACCTATGTATGTGTTTTGTGAGTCAAAACAGATATGCGCCACAGCTGGTTGGTGGTGAAAAACCCATCTCACAATATCAGATACTGCAATTTTGATCTTCTCAGTAAATCATCTGGATTTTCTTGCAGACTACAGTTATATAGTATAAGTTATACAGATTTATGCAGGATACAATGTTATACAGCACGTGTGTCTTGGTCTGGCCATTTTCATGGGGAAGCACGAGCACCTGAGCAACTCTGCACAACGACGCATCGATCAGAGAGCGCTTTTGCGCGACAGGCAGACCATTGTGCTGCACCATGATATGGCGATGCCAGCGATGCCTTATTCTAACATATTCCATGAATGGTGGACGCTTGTTAACCCTAGTGTAGAAGGTTAAATGCACTGTCACTCAAGAAAAATGGATGATTCAATCCTACATGTCTTGCCAATTGAATCTATGAGTCCAGCAACTGCCACATCATGCCACGACCGCACTGCCACGGAAACCCAGGCTCAGTAGCTCGAGTCTTTCTGGTCAATTCGCTGCCTATTTGCACAGCGAGAACCCATGTTTCCCTTGTTTAGGTCATGTGCAACCATCAAGCAACGCCTCAAAAGCCAAGAAGTATCAAGAAGTCCTAGAATTCCAATGATTGTTTGAAGGGGTGTGCTTTCTCAGTTAAGGTTGTTTAAATGCAGAATGAAGATTGCCTGAGCTTGCTAGGCTTCATGGAAACATTCATAAACATGAAGAACTCAAGGATAAATCAGTTTGGCAATGTTTGGCAGTATGGAGTGGAAAAAAGCTTCAATGCACTGCCATCGATGCGGTTCACCTCCAGTTTCACACTGTTCATAGCATTCCAAGCAACTCCATGGGCCTCACTGCGTCAACTCGTTGAACATGAAGGTGACTCCCTCTGGAATGTCCTTCGAAACGGACCGTCTCCAGGACCAACCACTGGTTGATCTGTTGAACGAAAAGGATGAAAAGGGGACATGGTCCGTGAATGGTCCGTCAAAAGCAGGGAGGAAAAATGCTTCTTTCTTCTTATCTGCGCTTTCCAGCGTGGGCCATTTCTGCAAGTCGACAAACAGGACGATGATATTTCATGATGTCAAGCCCGGATTGATAATCCCTAGGCGGCTTCATTCGGGGGTGCCTGTTTTGCAGAAAATATTAGAAAATCATTGATGTTTCAGGGAGAAAAAATACAAAAATGATTCTAAATATCATAAATGAAGTCCAAATCAACCAGGGTTTCTCAATCTGCAGCTACCAAGGCTACCAAGGCCCAGCTGCCGACGCCTTCCGATCCCTGACGCATTCTGCGATGGCCACCGCAGTGTCGACGTCGATTTCCTGCGGCCAGTGCTTCAACAGGACGAAGTGGTGGTGAATGGTTGTCATGACGCAAAAATCAATGGGAATTTCAGGATCCTAAAATGAAGGTACTGTACCATATAAGGCCATATTTTGTGGGGATATCCCCTTACATAGGCCTTTTTTAGGCCTTATATGGTACAGTACCTTCATTTTAGGATCCTGAAATTCCCATTGAAAAAAGGGGCAGACCTTGGAATTTCACCAATGTCATGTCAAGTCCCAGTTGAGTTCCAGGATCAGCCAGGGCTCTCAATGGTTTCCATAGGCAAATTCGGGCTCGTTTCACGGGGGTAAGAAATCTGACAGAGTCTGAGTCTCACGATGTCCCACCATCCCCTCAGTATTACACTATTACTAATAGAGTATTACTGTATTACAAACATTTACAAATTCGAATTAGTAATCCCCCTTTGTAATTTCTGCCCATTACTAATCTCAGTGGGCAGATGTGGGCAAGATCTCACCTTCGCAATGTACAGCAGAAGGTGAAAGTCGGCGAAGCGCGACCTGGACCACCGGACTCTGCGGACCGAGATGTGGTCGAACCGACATTGGCAAAGTGACTGTCCACAACACGAGGTCGCCAAGTGCCCGGCCATGATGGCTCAGATTTCGGAATTTTGTTGAAGTACTGCAAGATGAAACATAGAGAATGATCAGAATGTGAAACTTACACCTATGATCTAATCAAATCTAATCATGCAACGCTGATTTGGATGTTCCTGTGAGGAACATTTTGACGACCATGATGCAAATGGTGCTGATGGTGATGAAATCATGGTGAGGCCAGGATGACTAGAGCGAGGGCACACAGAGGGTCATCACTAAGTTGCTGCTGTCCAGTGGAGTCCGTGTTTCGCTGTCCTTCTTCAAGTCTTCCCGTCTCTGAGGATGCCTAGGCTTCTGGAGAGATACTTTCAGGCTTTCACGAGGAGTGCTGTCGCAACAGGTGTCAAGCTGCTTAAGAAACTTTGCAACTTGTTGGTACCGTGGCCGCAAAATCAAAAAGTTTCAAAAAGCTTTGCAAAAGCCTGTCCAAACCTGAACTAACAACCCTTGTCATTACTGCATCCTGTCCTGTGGTCGTGAAAGAACAATCACTCCCGGCTAGGCTGATAAGCTTAGAGTATCTAAACGATTAAATTTCAAGAGATTCTCTAGGCAAGCAGTTTTGACGTGAAAAGCGGTTGCAAAGTGTACCCAGCACCCATATCTAGTCGCAACAATTGTCGCAACATGTCGCAACCAGTGTGGGCAAGGAGCGTAGGACGGTTTTCTCTTGGGAAGTCAGCATGCGTAAACATCCGCTGGTGCTGCAAATCAGGGATTTATGAAATCACAGCTCATGGATCATGTGCTGCAAATGCTTGAAGCTTGCACAAACCTATGCAATCCTGTGCACGCACTTGCTGGAAATACCGGGCCACTACAACGCACACACACAAATGAAAGCTAATGATTTGTTGAGGTGGATTCCGCATGGGTCATCATGATTCAGACCTTCTTCGGCGCAGTGTCATTGACGCGCACTATAAAGAAGTCGGTGGCGATCTTCTTGTCTGATCTGCCTGGCACTTTGTCCAAGCCACGAAGCTCTAGCATAGCAAGTGGCTTGCCATGAAATTCGTTTGCTGGATAATCAATGGCCCATTGACCATACAACACAATAGGGTCGTTCAAGGAAACTCTGTCACGTGCAACACATGCGCTTGCTTGTCATGAGCACGCCTTCCACCACGAAATCGGGGATGAGCTCGTCTGGCTTTGCCTTCCAAGGTCAAAGCTGTGATGACCACTGAAGCGTCCCTGAAAGGTTGTGAAATCCAAACGCCAAAGTGAAACCAACACGAAACAACCTGACCCCAAGTAGTCAGTTGCAAAATATTCCTAGGAGGGCTCTGGGTGTATTCTGGCATCTGCTCTGCCGGCTTCACGAAAGATGCATGTTTAGAAGTTGCACTGTCAGCCAACGCCATGGGAACCTGTACCTACAACCCTTCAAGGAAATCTCCTTGTTTCAACTTGTTTCCAACTCGGTTCAACTCAAGTTGAGATCTTGTTTCAACGTGTTCAAACCACTTGAGCTCACTTGCTTCAATGGCATCACCGCTGGTGCCATCGCAATCCACCGCCTCACGCACCAGGCAGGCGCGTCGCTCAGAAGGAGCGCTGCTAAGAATGCCATCCCGGAGCATGGCACAGGCTTGCTCGGAAACCTGAAATCTGGCGGAGCCTGATCGCAATCCAGGGCCCATAGGTCAGTGCAATCTGGTAATCAAACATGGCTGTATATTTATTATTCATTATAATATATTATAATTATGTATATGCATGAGTGTGCAAACAAATGGGGGATTTCCAATTGCCAGGTGTCAAGATTGTCAAGGCAGATTCACGGAGGATCCCCAAACCCATCCAGAAATCACCACCCAGGGGCCCCCCTCAACCCCAGGGGCCCCGGGCCATGAACGGATTGACGCTTGGGGCACCGTTATTTGCAGGGTCCGGGCCTTGGTTGATCTTGGTTGAACTGGTTGGGTGCTCGAGACTCTGAGATGACAGCACAGACTGGCTTGTCACTTTGGTAGGTCAACTCCAGTTCAACATGGTCAGCAAAATAACAAGGGACCTCCGACCTCCAAGATCCCATGGAAAACATTGGAAACCGGCTCCTCATCCCCTTGATTTGGACATCCAAACGCACGGCGCAGGTCACGAATTTGGACAGGACATACCTGCAACCATTGAGATCCGCACGTGGTTTCTATATGTTTCTGTGACTTAGCCAGAAATGAACAGAAATATCTAGCCATGTTGACTCTTGAATATATCATGATGTATAATCATATATAATCTAGTTGCTGGAAATTGCAGTAAGTCAATGTGGTGATTTCGCGACAGCAAACCGAAAGAGTTATGTTTTTTGCGGCCTACTGCTTTCAATACACACCCAGAAACCGTTCTTACTCGGGGGACACCCGTGTGTCAGTGCATTAAAAATCAAATTATCATGCAACAAAGCCAACATGAATTGGGCTCCTCACTTCAATTTGTCCAAGGGACACCCAGAAGACCCTGGCCTTGTAAAATGTGCATCGGTTGAGTGTTCGTTTTGCAGCCTGCAGGGAAACTGACACTGCAAGCGCACAATGTGGCACATGTTCACTGTTGCAGCCATTCAAACCATAAGCAATGATGATCCCTGCTTGGGACTGCTGGTGAACTTTTTTATGCATTCATTGATGAAGCCACCAAGGGGGCTGTCCAAAGTAGGCACCATGGAATCCAGGAACCACTGGCCGGCGAATCATCGGAGTCAACTAGAGAAATCCTGGCATAAGATTGCCGTCCAAGTCATACAGCCGCTCGGTTTGTCGGTTCCTTTTTTTTTATTGCATCAAGAAGGATTGAAACATATTCATCACCTTTTCATCACCTTTTCATCACCTTTTCATCACCTTTTCATCACCTTTTCATCACCTTTTCATCACCTTTTCATCACAGATTCATCACAGATTTCATCACAGATTTCATCACCTTCAGTATCCTTCAGTTCTTCCGATCTCCGGTTTTACCAAACTTTCAAAGCCGCCTGGCAATCCGAAGTACCTCCTCCGGGGACAACAGAAGGTCCTCCTCCTGGAGATCGAAAACCAGCAGCGTGGCAACCGTGGTGGAAAACCGCAATCGTTTTAAAACCAAGTACCGCAATAGTTAACCTAAAAAATATGTGAATAGTTCAACATAGTTCAATATGATGAGTAGTATGATGAATCATGAAATTAATGGAAAAATATGTTCACCTGATTAAACAAAAAAAACTTCGAGTTATATGTTGAAATTACTAGTTGACTACAGCTTTGGACTGGAAGCATTGGAGATAAGGATCCATACAAGCTTCTCCACAGCAGTGGCAGATGGCGCCCGGGCGGTCCAGAGGCAACGAGGTGAAAACCCAACCGATGCATTCAAGGCCCAGGGCTTCTGCTATCCTGATGGCAGCTGGGAAACTAAACCAGAAGAAAAAACCATCGTGTAGGGTTGATCATACTGCATCCTTTGAATCTTTGTTTGATCCTATGTCAAACTTTGAAGCCCAGGTCTTCCATGTTTTTCCCCAAAGCATGATCGCTGACAGTACCTGGTCCAACAGATTCATCAACCTGTGCTGCGTATCCCTAAACCCACCTGTTTACCCTGCTCATCTCTTGGTCGTCTGTCAGAGGTTCAGCTATTTCGCCCACCATCCTGAGCAAATACTGAAATGTGAGATGTCAAATACATTTCTTGAAACCAAAAAAACAAGAATCAAGCAGGGGTCTCATTTATTGACTCCGCTTTGAATGAAGCTTGGCTCAAACATGCAGTACCTTTTGAATCCATTCCATTCATTGACTGTCAACTTGCTGATGGTATGCACAACCAGGCGGAGTAAAGATATGCCGGCTGCCATTCATGGGCCCTCTCCAGCACCAAGGCACTCTTGGGACGGCTCGTAGATGCCCTGCCAAACCATTGAGATTAGGCCCAGAGGATCTAGGCATTGATCCACGGCATGATGAATGGGTTCCACATGGTTCCACATATGGCAGTGTGTCAAAACCTTGTACCCCTGGTGAACATCAAAATAGCTTGTAAATGGATGTTCATCCCACTAAAAATGGTATCTATAGGTATTGACCCATAGCCATATCAACAAATACAATGGTCCGAGGCTTCATCATCCTCCTGAGATCGGCCCATGACATGACATGACATGTGGAGATTGACCACCAATGGACAACAGGTTGCTTTCTGAGGAAATGTTGGAGCACCAGTGCAGCATGCAGCATGCTCCGACGCCTCCATGATGGCGCGAGTACCCTCATCATAGTTTTTGTCCTTGCCAGCAGAGTGGTTAGATCTGTATCGATAGGCCAAAGGTCGGTTAAGATAGGGTCACTGCAGCCTGACGCAAGAGATTTGCGCAGTTTTCCTCGTCGCTAGCGGCTTTGGATTTGGTCCAATTTTCAAAGATGCGTCGCTAGCGAGTTTTCATGAGTTTTCTCCAAGCTGACTTCTTTTTAATCATCAAGGCACAATGATGGCCACCCGGCCGTCCAACGACCGTGTATCCAGCTCAGTGATTTTGCGCAGCCAGGTCCTCTAAGTAGTAGCCATACATGAAGCCAGTTCGCTGCATGGCATTTTCCAGCAGAACTCCATTCCTGAAAAATGATTTGAGAATGATGATATGATCTATGATATGTGATATGTGATAGATGTTTTATGATATGTGATCTATGATATATGATGTATTGTATGACACTGTATATGATATTTGATATATGAAACATGATACGTGTTACATGATATATGATGCATGATATCTAATTATATGATATGATATATGATACATGATACATGTTACATGATATATGATGTATGATATCTGATTATATGATATGTTATATATGACACAATGGTTATGGCATATTCCTGCAGATTGTGGGCGATATGATGCTATGATAGTGATATTACATGACAGAAAGATCCCCAGTCACAACACTCCTGCCCCTCGCAGCTCTGGGGATCCCTGACCAGTATCCAATGAAGTTCTCCATCTCTGGAACGTTGATGATGGACAAAGTGTCCACATGTCTATACCTCGCAAAGCATTCTAGGGAATTCAACCACTGGAAAACAGCAACACGTTCTTTTTGAGGGTGGGGATTGATAGAATCTCATGCCGCATAGTGCCTCTCCTTTGAGGCTCTTGGCATGGGGTACTCCCAGAATTCTTGAATTTGGACAGAAAAACTGTGGTTTCTTCATGTTTCTTCCTTTTGCCCTTCCTTCCTTTTTCAGGGCTGCGTTGCTTCCTTTTTTTCTCAACAGAGCGTCATGGAGTTCTCAGCAGCAGCTCGTCGGACAGCCTGACATTAAAAAATGGGATCTGGAAGTGAGGGGCTTCATCGAACACTTTCTCACCATGAGTCCTGGCAGTCCGGGGGGCTTCCAAACTGCCCACTGGAAATCTGAAGTAGGCAGGCTTGAACACATTCTTCCACCCAGGTTTAAATTGAGCAGTTTCCAAATCTCTACATTGGAGGAGCTTCAGATCATCCCAAACAGCTTCTGCTTAATTCGCATCAGCTCAAAAAATCCAAAAGGCGGGTTCCCGCCTGGTAGGAGGCGTAAGCCATCCTCTCATCCAGGGCACTTGCCACTGAGGCAAAAATGAGCCTGGTGGATGGCTGGACGCAGATTTGTGGGGCAGGAATCATGCACGGCTAATCAACATATGCTGGTGAATGCTGGTGGTGTCATGGTGGTGATGAGGATGATGAGAATGATGAGGATAATAAGGATGAGAATGATAAGAATGATAACAATGATGCTGATATCACCCACCAGTAGCCAGACAAAAGGATGGTATTGCGAGTCACCAGTGCAACCGCTGGTTGCCTCCAGTGCCTTTGGCCCGCGGGGATCAGCGCGTCCTGCCCAGCCACCAAAACGGGGTGAAACCTTTGAGAAGTTTGAACTCAAGGATCAATTTGAAACACAAACTATGTACCCCTAGATATTAGATGATATTAGATGGGGCAACTGTTTTATGGACTTCGGATATGGCCAACCAGTTAGAGCCTCCATTTCAAAGGCCTCTAGAAGGATCTCCTCACCACAAACCTCACGTGGGGAAGTTCCCACAAGAGGCTGCAACACTGCACCAAGTTTGCGGAGACACAGAGAAAGAGAGAGAGATCTGTGGATAATTATAATTATAAATGGATATCCATTATTATTATCCATTATTTATAATCAATAATGGATAAACCTGGGTTATACCATGGCATACAAACGATCCACGACTGGAAGTCATCACAGCTCACGCCCTAAGCACTGTGCGGGTGACCTACTGATCCATGTGACGAGTCAGCAAGAGCTGAGCAGCCCATCCCGGTTGTCCAAAACGGCGACACCCGCGACACCCCCAGGATGCCAAGTCCCTACCTTCCAAACAATGTCCATGACCAGGGCTGGATCGATTGGCGACTCCTATCAGAAATGCTAGGCTCAAGGACTGCCTCCATGGCTGGGGTGATTTCTGTGGTGATTCCCTGTGATATCCTGTCAGGGCAAGTGAATCATTTGTTGGACTTTGGGGTTAACCAACGGTAGAAGTCTTATTGCACCATGTCTGGCTGCACCATTTCTTCGGCGACAAATCATCAAACATTGAAGAGAAACAACTCATAAACCGCTGCTTCACTTCAAAAGCAATAGCAATAACAACAAGCTTAGCCCATTCAACAGCTTTAAGTCATGAAGAAAAAGAAACAGAAGTCATGTGTGATGTTCTGTCATGACAAATGGCAGACATGGCCATCCTTCATTGCCATCCTGGGCCGGGAACCCTGGGAATCCCCCAAAAAACACCTCCAGCTCTGAAAGGCGCAGGTCATGGAAAAAGAGACATTGACACCTCGGACTCTGAATCGGTCCATATCGGTGAATCGGTGCTGAACAGAAAGCAGGCCGGTAAAACACCAAGGAGTCCTTCAAACATCTTCGAAGTTGGCTGGTTCGGTCAAACACATCTTTGAAATCTTTGAACATCTTTGAACCTGGTGTCTCCTGACAAGATTTGTATACACTTGATGTTTGCCGAGCAGCACGAAGGGTGGCAGGGGATGATGCAGCTGCCGCCTGATACACCACTCCAAGGCCCAAAGGCATACAAATGAAATCAAAACATGTACTGCTAATTGCGCAACCTTGAAATCTCACACATACAGGATCAATCAGGGATCATACATGCAACTCTTTCAACAGAGAAAGAGATCATGTGTTCTTCGCATGCAGATTCCCTGATGTTCCTGGTCGATGGCTATGGCCCTCGCCTGTCACGCACTCCAAAGTGGAGCATGGCCGCCACCTGTCACGCCGTACTCAAAGGTGTCTGTGAAAACAATGGATGTGGCGGTATGGTTCAATAATCAAATAATATGACAATAATCAAATAATATGACACATAATCAATATATAATCAATAGGTTACTCCACTTTGGGATGTTTGTCTGGCTTTTACTATTTTCCAGACGTGGATGGAAGATTTGAACTCCTATCACCTATCACAGAAAGCAGCTACCCCAGCGCCTCAAGGTCAAAGTTTACCACCTGCAAAATGGTTTCCTCTTACCATCTCTTACTCACATTCACAGTGGTGCATCATGTAAGAGAAGCATGGTGGCATGGGACATCTGATTAACGTACTTTGAGACCTTGGACACAGTCAGTCAATTAGGTAGACAGCGCTCTGCATTGTTTGGAAAAAGAAAAAAACACCTGTTTCCTATGACAATTATGATGTTTCATGTGGCTTCATCCATGTCCTGCATCTTTGTAAATACCCAAGTCATCCCAAGTCCCAAGTCCAGCGGCCTTGGGACCATCAGGCTGTGTGTCAAACCAGCCTGTCTCAGAGTCTAAGCCCAAAAGGAACGTGTGAAATATGTATATGTATATATATACGTATATGTATGTATACATTATGTATACGTTAGGTATATGTATGCATATATGAGTGTAAAAAGATGTAAAAAGTCCAAACATAACAGTCCCGGCACGCTCCTTGGGAACATTCCCCAAACAGCCCGGACTCTTTAGACCAGGGCACAAAGAATCAGCCAGTCTTCCCTTGTCAGTTTGAAGGTCTCCTTAGTCAACTTGGTTGCAGCTGATCACAGATGATGTACATGATATATGCAGCATGCTATGCAGACTCGTATTGTTCAACAATACACCGTCACCTGCTTCATGACATCAGCCAGTCGGAGTCTCGTGTGATCATGTACGTATGGGTCAAAACTTAAGGCCCTCGGAACTCGCGTGTTTGTACTGTAGTGCTAGTAACTACTTAGTAGCTCTTCTCGCAGTGATCAAAACGCAACCGATGAGGACTTGTGGCAGATCCTAGAAACATCGTGCGCTCTTTGGATGTCGATAGAAGACTTGGAGCTGGCTTGGAGCCGCAAAAGGATACCATTTTGAATATGTTTGAATATTATAATGTGCTGATTGATGAATATCTTTGAATATCTAGTCTTCAGCATCTGATCACGAGGAGATTTTGATTCCGACAGTCCCAAATCTCCATCAGCCTGCTCCGCCTGCCTCCTTGATCTGAGGCACCCACGTTCTGAAAGCATGGAGTAAAGTCAGGTCTTTGGACTAAAACCTGGTGGCAGCCAGGATATTGCGACCACAACTGATCATCACCGCCATCAGCTTCCCAAGCTGGTGGTAAAAAAACACTGGACCCTCGGGAAAACATCAAGAAAACTATCCTTTCTGGCGCATCTTCGCTGCAGTGAATCCCTGCAGTTTCGCACCTCCAGATAATTGTGTTGTCCTGCAATGTGCCAGCGGTTGCGGATGGGATGTTCACAGGGACCTGACAGATTTGAACCTACTCTGCAACTGCAAGCAATATCAAACCGTCTCTGGGCTAAGTGCTGCGGCGGATCTAAACCTAGAACCACCCACATACAGTATCGGGGTATATCCGGATATATCCGGATGTATCCGGCATCTTCCATGATATTTCTCCCGTTTCGTTTGGAGTCCATGTAGGCACAGATCCACCGCTACAGTAAGTTGGTGTCAAAGTGCAGCCAGTTGACGTGGTTTAGCGGCGTTTCTTCTATGTTCTTCTCAGCTGTTCATCTCGGACAATATCAGACAGACAGTCTTGCAAAAGAAGCCATTGGCAAAAAAGGCTCTCAAAATACTGACCACTCAAACACATCTAAATCATTCTAAATCATCTGGATTCTGGATGGGTCAAGGCAAACGAAGCACCTCGCATTTGCACGTGCACTATAGTCACTATGCGCCGGTTCCATCCCCTCCTGAGTTCACCCAACGCAAGGTCTCAGGATCTCCCGGATCTCCCGGATCTCCGACATGAACCTGGAGCGCCTCGGGTTGCAGCGCGTGTTGCAAGCCCAGGCGCATAGAAATCACTCGAATAATGAATCATAATCATCAGCAGCATCGCCGTCGACCGTCAAGCAGCCTTGTGTCTGGTCCAACTTCTATTTCTAAAGATCTTTAAACAGTACAGGTACCTACGGAAATGGATCATCCATCCGTCAGCCATAGACGCAATGGAACCAACATCCGCCAGAAACACCGACGGTCGCTGAGCTGCCCGGGCAGCTACGGCACTGGTCAAGTGGCCTGACGCAAACATCATCTGAGGTGCAATGAATTGTATGGTACCCTCTGGTAATTTAACATAGCTATTGAAAATCACCATTTATAGTGGATTTTCCCATGAAACATGGTGATTTTCCATAGTTATGTTAGTTTACCAGAGGGTAAATCTAGTGGAAATATGCTGAAATATGTGGAAATGTCCAAAAAGGATCAAAAAGGGACAATCCCAAAGCATCCTATTGGGCCAGCCTTCGCGTCCTTCTACACAAAGTGCCCTGAGCTGCGATCGAAAAGGGTCATCTGAGTCGAACATCCAGCGGATGTGAACAAAAACCTGCCTGGGAAACAAGTGCTGGCAAGTGAATTTCTACGTCTTCCAATATGAACTGGCGAAAGGCTGAGATTGACGCTGGAAGCGATGTGTTTTCCCGTGGTCAACA